AAACAGTAAAATATTGTCAAGTTGTAGACTGAATATTTGATTTTTTTAATTCTACAAATGTTTTTTCTGAGGGTTTTAAGTCAGTATTTTTTTTTTTTTAAAACCGTTGAAATTATAAAAGATATCATTAACTTAAATTATTCAATTTATAAACATATTGAAAAAAATATTTTTAACGTTTACAGTATTTAATTTGAGAAATTGGTTTGTGACTTATGTCTTATGATGACCATTGGCCGTTTAAAAATATTCGTTCAACTTTCTGCTACATTGAACAAAACCTACAATTAATGTAAAACGTACCTCTTGGATTTTAATTTTCAATGTCTCCACTTGTTCATGTTTATGGGTGTTTTTAGTAGATTCTTCATTTGACTAATAAAACTCCGCCAAACCACATTTCCACTATTATACACTCTAAATTGTCTGTATTTAAAATTGTCTAGTATTAAGCACTTGCCCCCTTTATTACTCTCAATTATTTTAAAATCCATTATTTTATGTGTGATTAAAAATATTTTAATAATTTAATAAAACTGCAAAAAACCACCAAATTCCTATAGGTAAGCACTGTATAATATGTATACTGTATAAGTACACAAGAGGCAAGACTGACTAATAAAATAATTACGAGTGGTGAGTGGTGACTAAAGACTTAAAACATGTTAACATGATTATTGCAGTATATCTCATAATCTTATCTTATCTAATCCGTTAGTTAACACTAAAAATAGTGTGTGCCGTGTGGTTTTAACCACCATAAGTCAAAACTGGGTGTCCAATCGACTTGACTGTATTTGGAAGTTATGCATAACATTGGGTTCTAAGCTCTAACCTTCTAGGACACTTTATACGGTCAGCTGTCGGCTAACGGTTTAGATTGCAGAACGCGGACGCTTTTGTAGTTTTGCACAATATACATAAAGCATGTACTAAGTATAATATAATTTATAATTAATATAATTTCTCAAATGTTCAATAAAAACAAAAAGCGGGTAAGTCGTGGATGTCGCTCTGCTGTACTGTAGGTTACTGTAATGGATGGGATTAAATTTGAATGCAATAATAGGTATCATTGTATATGAAAAACGATTCTGAACGGAGATGATTTGTCAGTCTA